GATGCCTGATGCATTAATTAGCCGTATCGCGTAACAGTGTAAAACGTAATGTATATGTGTCGCGTGAAAGAACGCAGATGTATATTAAGTTATTTCTCTAAACTTTGAATTAACGTATTTAAACGTTATTTAAATGTATTCCCTTAAAATTAAGTGTGAAGGACAAGATTTTATTACTTAACAGCCGTGCCGATGAAAAGTTTACGCGATTCTATTTGCAATTGTTTGCAGCAACAAAATCATAATAATTCAATATTAATATTGAAAACTTTCGTCTGAATTTTAATCAAATGATCCCACATAAAACACGAACAAGTTTCTACATCCACCCTAATACAGGTTCTATAACTGAATAGTAGCACGCACGCCGCTTTGCCCATTTAATTCGTTATGCAAATGAACCCATCGTGTTAAAACTATCCCTATTTTGGGATATGTTCCCGCTTATGTGTAATACACGGAGACTGATGCTAATTGAAATTAACAGAGAGCACTATTCTCTATCACGCCAGTGTCTAAATATAAATTAAACGGCGGTACACAGAGCTGGGATCAAATACAAATATAGCATAACGTGACATAACGATATAACGTAATTTATATATAACTCGACTCATTCATATTGTAGAAGAAATATGGGTAGAATAAAAATGTATTACACTTCTTCTATAATTAATTATGATGTAATATAAAAGACGGAATGTTTATTGCCTCAATTGCCCTTAATTATATCGTCGAGCCATTTAGTTTATCAATTCCCGTTACGTAAGTTAGCAAACGATCTCCCCCAAAGATAATTTCTCTTCAATTACAGCTATAAATTGTTATCTTAGTTAACCAGAAATTTATTTGAGCAGTTATTCGGAGTTTTACTTGTCTGATGGACATAGAATGCGCTCTCTCGATATGGGGAAAGTGTCAGGTATATTTAGCGGCAAATCATGGACCTCTGGCATTCCTCTCCCTTCTTTTAAATAACTACAGAGAGTTTATAGGATGGGACCAAGATAGTCACCCCAAAATACCCACGTTTAGAAATAAATATCAAGCATCTTCGTAACTTGAAAGACCACACGACTAGCTAACAAATAATAATCGTTTATCGTGAGAACTACGTGTGTGTGTGTGTATGTGTGTATGGATCTTTATTCTCGGATTAACGTGCGACAGGAAAATTTATCGAAGAAAAAGAATCGGAAAAAGGATGACGGGTGATGACGTGTTGTCCGAAAGAACGAAAGGTTATCCAGCGCAAGTTACACAAGTTATAGCGAAAAAGTTTTAATCGGCGATCAACCGAAATCCTCTGCGGCTCAAACGAGACAGCGATAGCGATATCCTAACATTTAATGTATTGATCAACCGAGGAGCAATAAATAGAGGCAGAGCGAGGGGTGTCGTGAGCCTGATTAAACTTCATTCTCCGCTAATGGTTTATAAATAGGCATCTTTTTTTTTCTTTGCCTTCCATGCGGTCACGACGACGACGCGGACGACGGGGGAGAAGTGCTCCTGGAACGAGCGTCCTTCCATTCCGCTGTCCTGCCTCCTCGCCTACACCACGCCTGCCGACCTCGTCGACATTTTCCGATATTTCCCCGCCGATTTTTCCCAACGCGCGGCGCCGGCATCGGCGACGTGTTTTCGCAGGAAATTGCGTATCGACACTTTTAATGGCGGCTGTTATTTGATGCTCTTGAATACAGGAGATTTTAAACGCCCGATGATGCGCCTGAAAATCGCGACGATGACGAAGACGATCCGGTATACGTTAATTAAAGCGATCGAGAAAGAAGGACGCGCGCGCGCGCGCGCGCATTCGACAGCCCTTAATTTCACTTACGCAATTCCGTGACGAAAGTGTTTTTATCGTGGATATCGCGTAATAGGTCATTTCGCAAATATTTCCTTTTAAACGATCGCAAAAAGAATTATTTTTTTATTTTTTTCTGCCGTACAAACTGCCGGCAAAATAACATCACCATATATGAAACTGAGATTAACCGAATAGAATGCAAATATGCAAATGCAATAATTGCATCAAGTATCACGCGAAACGAGCTTCAAACATTGTCTGTCTCTCCATCAAAAATACTGTTCCCTTTTGAAAACCACAAAATTGATATATACAATGACTATATACTATATTTCAAAACAGATATACCATTTCAAGTGTTGTGAAAATATTACCAGTTCAATACTTTAAACTCAAAGAATTTAAACAGAATATTATTAAAATAAAGCGCGCTCTCTCTTTCTTTCTTTCAGAAAATATATGTACATATATAGTTTATTTATTATTTGAATATCTATTTTATAATTCAATCAATTCGATCGATTTATTCAAAAGTTAGTATTAATCGTCACCATTTCCATAATGAACTATGAACTTTGAAATGTCACGGAGCGGTGCACACGTGCATATAGAGATTCTTCTTTTCTGTCCCGCACGCGGGCCCCGCAAATAGCCGTGCATAGAGGGGCGTAGGTCGGATCGATCGCGAGGTAAAAGTGAAAGGACGCCCCAAGGGGTGGCCGAGAGGGCTATGAAATCGTTCATCGAGTCAGCCGATTTAGAGAAAGAGAGGTAGAAAGAGAGAAAGAGGCCGAGGATCGTTTGTTAGAAAAGAAGTGGCACGCCAAAATCAACTTGTCCCGGAAGACCGATCCGTATCGTGTTGAAGATAGTACAGACATTTCATTCGCTGGATATATAACCGAGAGATCTCTTCTAACCAGATCAAACCGAGAGACAATTTTACTTTTCTGTATCCAATTATCATGTGCCTAAAAAAATATTTAATATAATTTCTTTTTTTATTTGTTCAATAATTGACGTCTGACTTTAGGTTGCTTGCATCTCTATTTTCTCCTAGATTTCTCGGGAATTATGCTAGGTGCACAAAAATATCCGGTATATACGGTCAAATTTAAAAAAGCTCTAAAAAAGTGTTTAAAGATAAAATTTAAAATATGTATAACAAATATAATATTTAAAAAATTATGTATTTCTTGATTTAAAGATAAATAGCATTGCTGCGTACTAATAAGTGAAAAATCTAAAAGAACAGAGAAATTCTCATCATAGTGATGTATTTACATATAGACACTTTACATATCTGTCACATATAACTAAACGTGTTCAAATAAAAAAGACATGAGTTGCGTTAACGTGACTATCCAAAGGACGGAATACAATTTTTTTGCAGTAACTCTTTTTTTTATCTTTTTACTATTACTTTTTACTATTATTATCTTTATCCCGCTAACATACATTTAATTTTACTACGCAGCAAAAAGTGTACAATTAAGTTAATTACTATTGACGTTTCAGTTAAGTCCTACTAGTTTAATTGACGACCGACAGTTATTCCTGGAAAGTTTATCGAACATTATTTATAAGATCATGAAAGCGTATCCCATATAAAGGGGATTGGATACGTAAAGGATGAGGGCAAAATTCTGGATTTTCTCGCGCGAGAGATCGTGTGCGGTTCGTACCTTCGCGACAATCTAGTGGATCTCGGCGACGGATGACGGCTTATGCCTCGACTGCGTCATTTCAGTGGATTCGATTTCGCCCGGTAAATCCAAGCAGATGATATCGAGACACAAGGGAAATGGATGAAAATGTTATATCGAACAAGGGGGAAAAACGTCGCCCTGCGGACGGTCAAACAAATTCTCGACCTAAACATAGTGAGCGAGCTCCGTCGCGCGTCATCCCGTGTTTATTTCACGTATATAGGTCAACGTGCAGTGTCGCAAAGCGCGCGTTTAAAACGCGTTTTTAAGAGAAGATAAAAATGACAGGATATAATTATCATACATATTTAATAGAATTGAATCAAAACCGACGCGCAACGCCTGGATATATTTCAATATAACATTTTTTTAAAATGTTTTTTTCTGTAATCTACAATTTAACAAATTGACAAGATCGTAATATGTAAAAATATTTTAAAAAATTGTTCCTCTTCAAACATGTAAATAAATCGAATAGATTTAGACAAAACAATTGGATCAATAAATGTACAGTCTCTCTTTGTACACAGCAATTTGAATGAATATTAGAATTGATAGATATACATACAATTAAGCATATTAAAAATATATGCCTAATTCACTCCATACTAACCAATTCATTCAATATTACGCGGCAACAGAAATATTATTTTTCAAAGGTTTTATTTTGTTAAAAAAATTTTTGTCTTGATACATTTTGTATTTTGTGCCATTTTAGATGATTTATATTAATAAATGTGATAAAATTAATATTTCTGTTTCGCCGTCATCTAAAATATATATTTTGCTGCTGAAATGATACTTCACTTTGATAAGCTTTCAAAAGAGCTACACGGTTACCACTTTCAAATCAGAAGTGATTGCGACCTACCATTGTATACCGCATAACCGGGTCAGCTCTGTGATTTTTGGCATATAGATGGATATAATCCGTTTAGCCATTTGGTCGATATGGAAGAGACACACATACTTTCCAATCTGAGCATGAAATGTAGAGATCCAAAATGGTATCTCGAACTGGTCCAAAAATATTTGGCTAATATATTTCTCATGAAGATTCCGTAATCAAATATAATCAACGGAAATGTCAAATCATCTTATTATCGTGTTATTTTCATAAAAAATTTACACTATATGCATTCTATTATGATCCTATATCTAACTATATTTATGTTGAAATTTATTTTATAAAGAAAAACTAAACTCGCTAAAAAAGAGAGAGAAATGTGTTTGTTGTAATCATAAACATGTAAATTAAAATATAAATCATATAATTTCAATTTATTGTTTTTTTTTAACTAATTTAATTCAAGAAGAATCATGTACACTGTACAGTATTGCGCTAACTCTAATAAATTTTAATAATAAAAGCAGCCAATAAAACATATAATAACTATGAATGCAGTCAATAAAATTCAAAAGAAAGTAGAAGAAGTTGGCAATTTCTAAAAGCATAAGGTAAAGGATTTTTGCAATTATAACAAACGAATAAATGTCAAGAGCTGCCAATCGCACTTTCATGTAATGTGGAAACGAACAATCTAACCCCAATTATAATTTTTTTTTAATGTCAAAATGTAAATGAGATGAATTAGCGTTTTCTCTCAAGATTAATAATTATTATTCAGCAAATTAAAAACTCATTATTCGCGAATGGCGTTCGCAGGAAAGTTTCATTAAATTATTTCCTTCGATGAGATGAGCGCTCGTAGCTATGGTAGTGCGGTATCGGTGGTTTCCCGGTGCGAATCTCATCGGACAGCTGATAAGACAAATCACGCAGCCATTGTCTAAGGCGATAGTGAGGCGTGTGAAGAAACGGCCGCTCGTAAGAAAATATGTCCTGATTCAACTGGGACGTCTCTATTATTGGTGCGAGAACATAATAAGGTGGCAAGATATTCCGGCCGTGGTGAAAAAAAGACCCGCTAACGACGACCACGCGATGGAATTGGGAACGAAATTGTTGCTCGAGGTTATGATCAGCAATTACGTTGTCGTCAACGCGATTGTCATTGGAGCACTATTTTTTTTTTTTTTATTGAGTTTCGACAAAGTAAAACGCGTTTTCGTTCAACCCTTCAGGCATTAGTCTTCGGACTTTTGGGGAGCGCACTCATGTACGAGACGCAAAAGGCTGCAGAGAGATCGCGCGTTATCGAGCAGCTGAAAGAACAGGAGCTCAACGATTTAGAGGCGGAGAAGGATCAGCTGATGCGGCGAGTTGAGGATCAAGTGATCTTGACGAAACAGCTCAAAGACATCATCGTGGAGTATTCGAGACAAGTCGGGTGTACGTTACCGAGTGATCCCACGGAGGAGAAAGGCCAATAGAATCCGCTCTTGATTTGAGGTAGACGCGGGGATTGCGAAAAGTCGCGAAAGAATTTTTAAAGGACGAATTTCGTCGCGTCCTTAAAATATCGCATTTACGTGCAGCGGATCGCGACGAAAAATTCGTTCTCCTTTCCCTCTCTTTCTCCCTCTTTCTTGTCATCGCGATTTCTTCCCGCGGATAGAATTTGCCGCGCTATGTTCTCGGTGAACCGCAAACTGACGAGCGGGGATTCTCGCGGAGCGCCGTGGATCCCGCCGGCACGCCAACGACAGTTCGAACTTAGCGCGAATATTCTTCCGTTCTCGCCCGTCTGTCGTTCCGGTTGACATTAGCATTCGTTAGCATAATAAACGTTATTTCCACCGCACCACGTCCTCGCCGCATGTCTGACCCACGGTGAATTTTCGCAGCGGGTCGCTTGGACGAAATTTGACTTTCAGCATCAAAATCGACAACGGAGGAGAAAAAGAGAGAGAGAGAAAGAGATACGTCATTAGAGACAGGCAGGCGGCATGGAAAATATGCGAATCACGTTGATTCGACAAGCGTGAAGAATAGATTATCGTACATCTTGATTTCGTGTTCACATCGTGGAAACGTCCGAATTTGAAGGTTTATATTGAAACAGTTGAGATCCTCTGAGAAATAACATCGAGATGTCGCAGATGTTTCTACCGATATAATAAAAGTTTAATCGTGAAAATCAGAGGATCGCAAATAATTATCTGCGGTTAAATCATCACTCCGGGAGCAAATCAGCTACAAATGTGTCAGGAAATCCAAACTGCAACTGGCAGCGAAGTTTGCAATTTCTCTCGTACAAACACATGCACGGGCGAAGTTGTTTGTGTGCGTGTGTGAAATTAGTTCGTACAAGAGCAAGATCATTGGAGTTAAAACGATTCGCGGAGGAGTGTTTCCGGCAGAAGCCCGATTAAGAATGTACTCCGCATCGGAGAGACGGAACATTTTTTTCGATTTCCTTTCTCGGCAGTTCTTGACTGAAACGTGCCGTTACCGTAAAGGAGAAAAAAAAAGTACTTTTGAAATTTCGCCTGAAAACGCAAAGCGCAACGCGAAGATATCTCGCCCGCCTGTACCGTCCAAATATTTTCAACGCAAAAAACATTCCGTTTAATTTTCTAAATAATACATCTGTGTGCTTTTACATTTATATCTTCATATATGTACATTTTATACATCGGTCCAGTAATATTTACATATTTCTCATTTCACGTTTAACGCTAAATGCGATGAATTTTTGCAAAACTTTTATGCAAGATATATATGCACTTCTTTCTCTAAACAAAATATTATTTATTTTGACAGAAAATAATATCATTATTCAGATAAATATCTTTCTAAATAATATTATTTATTTAGACAAATAGCCAATAGAGTTAATGAAATAGAAAACGAAGATTATCTTTGTCTAAACGTTATTGTATCAAAGAGATATCTTGGAAATATGTTGTAATATACAATAGAGAAATATCAGATGTATCTGTTTCGCGATTTTCTTTTTCGAATTATCGAGACGTTTGCTCGGAACCGCTCCACGTGGAATATTACAAGGAAACAGGATAAATGTCATGTGTACGACGTGAGAATCTTAGACACCTGCATGTATGAGGAGGGAAAACGCCGCTCGTATATCCGAGATCTTCAAGCATTCGCGAGTGACTCTCGAGAGAACATTTCGAGTTCGGTTTGAGACAGACGTGAAATTCGATATTGACGCCTCCGTGACATCGCGACCTAAGGAAGCCAGCCCTTACGAGGGGCAAGCCCGTTTCTCGCGCGATACACACTGATTCAAATCGGGTAACAAGAGAACGACGATGCATCGTATGCTCTATTGGCGTACGATGAATAAAAATATTGACAGGATCCCCGAGATAAACTCGCGAAATCTTTCCGTAGCTTCTGCTTTTCCCGAGGGGATAAATTTTCGAGATAACATGTTTGAGTGAAATACCTGCAATAAGAAATATAGACATGGCAAAACACGCGCTATCTCTCGTTTTTATCCCTGCATAATTATTTATTTCTTTTTTTTAAACCGTAATTTATGTATTTTTTTGAAACTACTCGTATATCGTACACCTCGTAAGTCGTCGTAACATTTCGAAGAAGCATGTTCATTAAAATGAGAAAGTTACAGAACACGATTTTTTTGATACGCTGAGCAATACAGTTCCTCAGAGATTGATGCTCGAAGATAATCCTGCTTACAAGATCGAATAATTTATTTATGCCAAATAAACAATTCTGTAAGAATGAAAATGAACGGACATGCTACTATCTTATTCACGAAAAGAGAAATAGTATTGGGAATGGCTATTGTGATTGCGTGCTGAATCACAATCAGATAATTCTTTGACGCTCACTTTTGTAAGGCGAGAACTTGGCGATAAGGGCCAGTCATCTTACTTTAGACCACCGAGATGTTAATGAGAGACTAATTTTCTACGAAGTCATCTTCCCGTTCTCATTATCTTCCCCGCTAAAGTTGTAAAAGGAGCAAAGAAAGTATTCTGAATTGAAAAATCGAACATTTATTCGATCAATAAAGCACTATTTTTATATACCTACATATAAATTTCATCACACAGGACTTCAGTCTTTTACATCAACAAATTTCTGTTAATAACGACAAAATTGTATGGCTGTATACGTTTATCTGTAACCGTATATCGGATGCAATATCTTCGTATCATTTTCAACGCCAGCTGCGTGATTCCATTCCGTTGAAATCCAAAAATTTTACGGACGAAAGCGTACAAAAACCGAAAATTACCGTATATCACCGTGCCACGTGTAATACAATATGATTGTTACAAAGTGCTGAATTATATTACGAGTTATTTCTAGCGTCCTACTTCGACATTATAACATTCATCGATTTTCCCCATCAATTTACGTTCCGATGCATTTGACGTAACTCAAAAGCGCTCTACAAAAGACAAACTTTCAAAATCCATCGTTTTATATGCAGCAATCTAATAGCGCATCGAAAGTCATTTCAGTTTACCACAATAAATTATAAATGCAATATTCGTATCGGTAGATGGGAAGTATGATGTTAAAACGGGATACATGTTTTGCACGAGATTGTTAAAAGTAATTTACGGAGTTGCGTGATACATGTAGTAAGTTAAAAATAAAGAATAAAGTCGTTAGAAACGATCTTGGTGAAGAAACATCGAGTAAGTTAAAAATAAAGAATAAAGTCGCGAGACACGATCTTGGTAAAGAAACATCGAGTCTACTATCTCGTCGAAAAACCGAGAATTAGCATGGATCGCAAAGCTTTCGTTAACCAAATTCTCACGAGACAATAATCCCTTTTAATTTACTTTAAGTAATCGTATTCGATCTTAAAGACAGCTTCCGCACCACAAAGTTCTGGTGATTAGGGATTGGCAAAAGTCGGAACATTCCAGTCCCTTTAGGTCTGTACAGCCGTCGTTCTTATGCCATTAGAGTGCCTTTTTTTGGTCACTAAGCAACGAACGTCTGAAAATAGATCAAAGCTGGAACCATTAGTAACGTAATCTGCAATGATGCTTTGTCGCGTATTAAAACCACAAATGCATAAAAAACAAATATTATTTAATTTTGATTATTATATTATTAAATTCTATATAGATACTATCAATAGGTATAGATACTGTCTTTTTTGGAGAAAATGTCTATTTAAATAATTTTATATAAAGATTATATTTAATTAAAACTTTTTCAATATACCTTAATTTAACTAAAATAAAAGTTTGTTTATTAATTTACGTGAAATCTTAAAATTATAATAATAATAAATATAATAATTTTTACTTTTCAATTTACTTTCATAACTAAATAATTATTAATACTTTGATAATAAATTAATTATTAGTTTGTATTTTTCAATCAGTTTAATCTCCTCCATATTTTCTTTTACACATTTTTCTATACATGATATATATTATAAACATATTGTAAAATGTATGATCTCCCCCAAAAGTTTACCTTTCAAAGAAATTAGTTTTCACCTTTGAATAACGGCCCTTAATATCCGATTAGTTTTCGTATCCCAACAACAAATTTTCGAACAAGATTGATCCTTTTTTTTTCTGTGCAAGATAACTTGAATTAGGCCATAACCACTCGGGTCGATGAATTGATCTCCCCGACGTCATAATGGACGAAACTTAATCTGTGCCCTATGTAGAGATATGTAAAAGGCGCTTGTGTTCTTTATAAAGAATAGAGTTCTGTATATATATATATATATATATATATATATATATATATAATTTTTTTTATCCCTCCCAGAATAATGTGTCTAATAATAAACACTGTGTTCGTTCTGTAGTTCATCTTCAAACCTCTCTGATTAAAAGGACAATAGAAAAGATTCTCTGTCTCTAGTATCGCTTAAATATCTAAAATGTTTAAAGCTGCACATTCCATGCCGAAGAATATAATGTAATAAGAATATTGAAGTACTCTTTCTCAATGTGATTATAAAGTTAAAAATGTAATATCCTTCACATATTAAAATAGAATTACATAAAAAGTTAGTCACCTCCAAAATCGCAAATAATTACTTTAGCCACCCTCACTTTTCGTTTTACAAAATAGCAATTTTTATATCAAATATGCTTTTATATCAAATCTACGTATTCAAAGATGCATTGTTATTACATAAGATTTGTTACTACATAATAAATTAAAAAGCTTATTTTCGACGCGCTTATCCTATAGATACGTAGAGCTATCTGACTGGAATCTCTCGGTTACAATTGTAGCAACGTAAGGAAAGGAAGACGGATATCGCGGTGACTGGCGACAATCAGCGATTACTTTAACCTCTGACCTTCCTTGTGCGATTCTACGGTCGGGTGAACAAACGGCAAGATTTATGTGCGGCGAAAACCATTGAGTGCAAAACCGGCCCTTTGATCGCGGTATTGCCCTTGGACTAAGCAGTAAGGTGCTCAAGTCACAAAAGCGTCGCGTTAGCATGATGTAATTTGTAATGCCGCATCAACTCAACAACGTCTGAATATTAAAGAAATTGATTGTTTCCTTTTCAGACTAACTACTGGCTAATGTGCAATCAAAATCATGCGATTTGCGTGGGAATTTTAATTATCGATTGTTAAAAAATTGGATGGTAAACAATTTACCACGCATTAGCGACAAAAATAAAAGAGAATGAATATTATCGTATTATATCAAAGTATTAATAGCCGTTTAGTTATAAACATCCACAAAATAAAGACTTTTATGACCTTTAATCAATTTTGTGATAAATAAGTAACAAAATCTTATTATAGTAGTTAGTATATATTACAATAACTTTTTAAATAATAAAATATCTATCATATAATAATATAAAAAAAATAGTTAATAATAAGATGTAAAACAGTTGAAATTGCATGTTAAAGGAATTTCAATTTATTTCATCCGTATGGCTGTATCTAAACTTGCTTGATCACTTTGTTCTTTTGTAAAGTTAACAAATAGGATGAGAAGAAAGGACGACATCCTGAAGAACGGTGCGAAAGTACGTTCCGTAAAAGAAGAGAAAATTAAAGAGAAACCATTATATAGTCATTTACTTATACAGCAAGGAAAGAACGTCGTCTCTCCAGGTGCAATATAGTATAAAATTTTACTACATTATCACCGTATCATGATGATATCATGATTTTAAATAAACTTAAATAAATTAGCGTGCGCCGTCGCAATTAAAATACGGCATCAAGCTCGCACGGTGATGAAAATGATATAGAAATATAAAAATCATATTAGAGAAAGCTTGCACACTCACTTCCTTCAACGTCACACGAAGCGCGCCAGGCCACCTGATTCTGTATTTTATTTGTGTAACATGATAAATGCGTTTAACGTCAACGCGAGGTGAGAATGGGACAGCCGCATTTAGCGCTAAATTCGGAGTACAGATGGGAGAGGACCAGGGCGGAAATGAAAGTATAAGAATGAGGAAGGGCAGCTATTTGCCCGCCGAATAATTCGTTGAACTTGCGGCATAATGGACGTGGTCCGGGATAAAAGGGCACAGGACGGACACGTAACGCGCGGGTGACTGAAAGAATTTTGCCACGGACGCTGACTTTTACACGTTACTGGCGTTGAAACAAGGTCGTAACTTCAAATTTTGCCGAAACGTTGGCAATCTATTCGTAAGATTACATCAACCGCCCTTCGTTCAGCAGAATTCGGCTGGCACGCCCTATAAAAGGTGCATTGGCGTCAAAACGACAGGAAAAAGGATCCTTTTTCCTTTCGAGATAAAACAGTGATTTCTACACATCGCACGTACGCGAATTGGATGTTAAAAAAAACCAATCATACTTTTTACAGCTGATAAAACAATGAATATATATATATATTTTTTAAAGAAAAGTAATTCTCTTGTTGTTACGTCAAATTTATAAAATCGCACAGTAATCAGTAATATTCATTTGAAGTAATCAAATGTAGCTAAACCATTTTTTATTTGCATCCAAAAATTATTCTCTCATTATTTCCACGCAGGTTACAAAATTATAAATGTCGATCGTTTCGCGCATTTGAACGTCAAGGGACAACGAGAATGTCGTTCAGTGTCGAATAGTGAAGACAATAAATGACTCGAGACGCGACGAACAAACGGGAAATTAGCGAAAGATATCTCTGTTCAAATCAACCAGGCTTTTCGTTGCTTCCTGGTGCAAAAAGAATTTCGATACGACATTACGCCACTGGAAATATAATTCTTATCGAAGGCTCATTTTATGAGCAGTGAGAGACAGACGGCAGTACCCGCCTCTGGACCGTTTTACTTCATTATAATTCCCCGCTTCGCTTTCGCTTTTTATCAAACATTATTGAAATACTTGGCCGGCCTATATCTGTATGCTCTACTCTACAGATTGTTATCGTACTTTTTTTAATTGCTGCAAGTAATTAATTTTATTTTATTTAAAAAATATAAGTAAAAATCTCTTGCTCGTCTCCTAATAACTTGAAGAAGCTTCCTGATGTACATATATTTCACGCCTCTTAAAGATTAATTAAATTAATTAATTACTAATTATACATTGTTCCAACAATAAAAAGCTTTCTTCCACTTTCTTTCAATTACGTCATCGATTATTACCGAGACGCTGAAAGGGCACGTGTAGGAAGTGTGTGTGACGCAACTCAAAATAAACCAGTTCATAAACTTTTTCCTTCGCACCTGTTCTTCGTGATGCTTCATCGATGGCACGCTTAAAAAACGGATGATAATGTAATTGCTTGAGAGATCGCAAATAACTTCGGTCCCGTTGCATTAATAAATATCAATCGCGCCGCTCCGACAAAAATTATCGTCGTAATCGACACGTAGCCGCGCATGCAAATGGTGGTACCGATGGTGCTGCAAATGTCGAAAACTCATGAACCAGATTGCAATAGAATTGTCTATGCATAATTCAAGGAAAATTAATTTGCCGCTCGCGTCGACTGCGCCGATGATTTTGCAACCGCATTATCACCCTCCTCTTTACCACCTCACCCTATCGAGCTCCCCTGCACCATATTTCCTCCGTCACAGATGCAATTTAATTTCATTAGTAGTGGGCGTTTCTAACGTAACCATTTTGCTCGGTTAAAGACTACTGTTTACTTCGTGCTATTTTTAGATGATGTATTATAAGATTGGCTCAAACTTCGCATGTCACATTACGATTCTGCATCGTGTAACATTACCTGGGATATAGGGAAAATACAAAGCGTGGTTAAAGAAAAAAAAGTAATTATTTAGATGAGAGATATAAAAGGTAAGGCAAATATAGAAAATAGCAGTCGGTTATATTAAAACGAATCGCAAATTCAAATAATTGATGTTTTATCGCGCTTTGACGCATTGATTTAACTGCCAAAAGCACGTATTTATTTTTCGGTGTTTGTTCTACGTCACAATGGAGAAATGTAACGTAAAAAATTGCAGAGATAAATAAAATTAATCGCAAAAATTGTAAAGAATAGCTAAAACAATGCTCCTTTCCACAAAAAAAACATTTAATGCTCCTTTCCACAAAAAAACTTTTAAAACTGTCTAAAAAAATACCCGAAAATAATATTAAAATCTTTTAAAAATGTAGTTATCACATAGACGCGTTCACTATCTAGAAGATCTGGATTTTACTTAAAGTAACAATTTTGTTATCAGTAAATATCGTAAAAAAAAGTAGTTATTTGTAAGTATTGTTCTTCATATTCTGCTATTAATTTAGAAGAATATACGAATATATTAATTGTAAAAAAATAGTTATTGATTCTTATATAAGTTTTCAATGTCGACAAATGCGTCTCTTCTCTGTATCACATATAGTACATCACAACGTTACTCTAGATAAATCGAATGATTTTTAGATTCGTTTTCATGTCCCAAGGCGAACTTTCGAGAAAATTCCGGAAATTTAAGTCCTATCCCATTATAGGTAGCTTCCGATATCTCGTGCAACTATCACCTACTGTTATTATAGATATCTATTGCTATTATTATTGACGACGGTATCAAAGAAATGTCTCTATGCCTTTCTATTGAAAGGACTTTGACGAGTTCTTCCCTCTTTACTCTTTTGTTAAAAAATATATATATATCTATTATAAAGCGTTAAAAATATTAATCAAACGACGTATCTATATTTTATATTTACGTAGATATTTTAATCATCACATTGTCACATCTTCATCGAACGTTCCCAAACCTCTCGAAACACCCTCGTGCTCGCAACCGTTTTATCTCCCGCCGTAAATTACGTCAATTATATTTTCAGTCATGAATATTACATCACTATTAAAGTCCCGGCCAAGGGTCTGGATGACAGTGCTACGTGAAAATTATTATTGAGATCTGGAGAGCAGTTAAATGACGAAATTACACTGCCGCTGGAACTCGCCAACATCTGTTCCCAATTTCCATTCTCTCGCCCGGCGCCGCCGTACCCGCACGACCTCCGAAATCCCCGTACAGCACTGCCGCCGCGGCTGTCGAGACTCGCGTGGAGAAGTTCGCACGAATAATGTATTCAGTCAGCCGAAATCTCCTCCGGATTAGCTATGTATCCTCCCGCGGAGCGCTTTCACGATAACGATAACGGTTACCGCGATCTCGTCGCGCGGTAACCATTTCTTCCGTACGATACGTGGAACACTTCGCGATATATCTCCCTCGTCCCGGTCGCCCGTGTAACGCTCGTATACGTACAATTCGTTCTCATCGCTCGTTTCACCGACACTTCGACGCGTTCGTTCTTGCCGCTTTGTCTCTTTGTGACGACCGAGAAACGAAATTATTTTGCGCGTTATATCGCGACCGTACCATCATCGCGCGTACGCGAAAAGTGCCACTTTGTGATGCCGCACGAAATGAGGGGCGCACGCGATAATCGGTAATTTTATTGTCACACAAGTAATTCTATATCCCATTGTAAAGCTTTACCTGTCGCATCCTTTGGACCAGTTCGTCAGGTCTGATATAATTACATCAGTATCATTGTACAGCACAATTGGAACGAAATAAATACATCATTTCAATCGTCTACCATTTGAATCGCGTTATCGTTAACTCGTAAATTATCTGCAATGTGATGCAGTAGATAAAAAAGGGTTTTTAGATATTAAAATTTGTCCTTATTTCTTCTCTTTGTAGCACGTGTTCTCTTTGTAGCACACTCATCACATATTATTCAATTGTGCGTCATAATTAAAATCTCGGAGCTGCATGGAATATTCAATAAATTATTTTCTGATGAAGAGATACGCGATTTTCGTATAATTGTCGTCATCCGCGCGTCATCGATCCCCTTAAAACTTAAGCTTAAGCATTAACTGGAACGTTAAATAAATAAACGTTTGTTTGCATGCACATCATCTACGAGCGTGTGCGGTCCCTTTCTCAATACCGGCCGCGCAGTTCATTTGTTTGATTCCTCGCCGTTCCCATCGGCCATCCTATCCTATCCACGCGTGCGTACGTTATATATGACGGGTTCCAGCATCGACCACGCGGGTTCCTTTTGTGTGCATGAGAACGGAGTGGCCGGCGTGAAGAGGATTGGATAATGCTGTCGGGGAACAAACCGGAGGGACGTTCGGCGCGGGGAGACTCGACTCGTGGAGAATGGCTCGAGAAGGGTGCTACAGTAGGGGCACGAAACAGGAAGAAAACTGTGCCTTCAAGGGACACAAAAACATTCGAGTTTCCTGTCAGTGGCCAACGGCACGATACGTTTCGTAGGTC